AATCACGGGGCCCTTTGGGGTGGAAAGGTGAGAAAGGAGGCTCACCTTGACACTGAATTGGGAGCATCCCCCCTTGCCCCGGAGTCTGCCCTCTTCTCTCTCGGGAGGGAAGGAGGAGGAGTCTGCACAGCAGCTGTGTGGGGGTTGGACGCTGAGTGAGTTTCCACAGACGTGGCTTTCGCGCTAATTCCACAGAGCAGACCAGCCCAGACGTGTGCTGGGCGTGGGACTGGGCCTCACGGAAGGTGACGTGGAACGGGGGTTTCGGTCCAAAGGGTTTTCAGTGGAGTCTGGTGGGGGTGGGGGGTGTACCCTCTGACTCCCTGTACCCCTTCTGTATGCACACGCAGTTTCCACAACAGAAGACAGGTTAGTTCCTCTCTGGGCTTGGCAGGCCCTGGACAGGCGAGGGCGTTAAGATGGTCTTATCTAGCCCGGCCGGCGTGGCTCAGTGGTTGAGCATCAACCTATGAACCAGGAGGTCACGGTTCGATTCCGGTCAAGGGCACATGCCTGAGTTGCAGGCTCGGTCCCCAGTAGGGGGCGTGCAGGAGGCAGCTGATCAATGATTCTCTCTCATCATTGATGTTTCTCTCTCTCTCCCTCTCCCTTCCTCTCTGAAATCAATAAAAATATATGTATTTTTTTTAAAAGACAGCCTTGCCCTAGCTGGTTTGGCTCAGTGGATAGATCATCGGACTTCGGACTGAAGGGTCCCAGGTTCGATTCTGGTCAAGGGCACATGCCGGGGTTGCAGGCTCAATCCCCAGTGGGGGGCGTGCAGGAGGCAGCCGATCCATGATCCTCTCTCATCATTGATGTTTCTATGTCTCTCTCTCTTCCTCTCCCTTCCTCTCTGAAATCAATCAAAATATATTAAAAAAAATAAAAAACAGTCTTGTCCAGTGAGCCCGGAATGGCCCTTTGTTGGGAATAAGTGTGACCCTGTGAAGGGGCTACCAGGGAGAGGAATTCTAAAACCCTGCAAGGTCTTTTCCGCCGTTCCCACGCTCTACAGATCAGAATATTCCAGAAAACAAATCCTAGGCCCATTTGGAACCATAGACTTAGAATAGTCTGGACATGAAAGGGACCGAGATATCATTTCACCCCCTTGTTTTAACGATGAGGAGACGGGCCAGGCAGAGTGTTCCGGAAGGTGCTGGGCGCTGCGTGCTGCTGCCCTGGCCTCTCCAGGGGAAATGCTGGCCTTTCCCCAGGGCGGTCAGCAAACTCCGCCCCCCTCCCAGAGCCCGGGCCCTGCTCCTCTCCCCGAGGCCCTCCCCGCCCTCGGGTGCAATGCAGGCCTTTGCTGTGGCCCCTGGACCAGCCCGCTGGCATGTCCTCGTCACCATGGCAACAGTCCTGTTCGGGGTCAGGTCAGGTTAATGCTTTATTATTTTCTAGTTATGGCCATTGTGATGCTAATTGTTTATGGCAACAGACAGTAGGAACCTATGCAGACTTCATTTGGACAGTCTGTGACACTGGACAGAAGTAAACTGAAAAGCATTTCAGGTCAAAAGACCCGGAGTTGAATCTACTGATGTGCTTGGTTTCAGATCGGGCCTAAAAACTGACATCTCCCTTTTCACAAAAGGTGGCTTTGCAGGGGAAGAGCCTCCTTTCTGACTTTTATCTATTTTTACTTGATAGAAGAATGATTGAGCCATGGTAGAAAGGTGACCAGGCGGTCAGTATACTCAGCATCATTTATCTGATCATACTGGGAGGGGAAATCAAACGGGCAATGAAATAAACTTAATAAAAACGAATGGGTATTTTTAAACAAAAACCAGTGCTAGAAATGGGCGCGGTAAACAAGAAGAACTGGTGTGTATACATACCTGAAATTCTGAGAGCTATCCTCAAATGTGGGGTTACCGGCCCGGCCGGCACGGCTCAGTGGTTGAGCATTGACCCATGCACCGAAAGGTTGCAGGTTCGATTCCCGGTCACGGCACATGCCCAGGTGGTGGGTTTGGTCCCCGGTTGGGGTGTGTACTGGAGGCAGTTAATCCATGTTTCTCTCTCTCTCTCTCTCTCTCTCTCTCTCTCTCTCTCTCTCTCTTTCCCTCTCTCTCTCTCTCCCTCTAACCTTCTCTTCTCTCTAAAATCAATACAATAAAATAAAAACATTAAAGCATATGGGGGTGCAAATTACAAGTAGAGTTCATAGGGGATATATATATTAAACAGTGTGGCAAAAATAGAAAGTGTGGACAGGAAGAATGTTTACCTGCTAGTCAAAATTTATTTTTCATTTCGTTTCACCGCTTTCCCAATCAGCTTTTGTATGTTTTTCTTTCTGATTTCATGGCTCAGGAAATGTCTGCTGCAGACAACACGAAAGTGAGGCTGGTGTGATTTTTTTTATATAAAATGGATATTGGTTATACAAGCCTAAGATAAACTGAAGTTGCATCGCTAATTAAATATCGGGGTCTTCATTTAACGGCATAAAATGTGGGTCCTCGGGAACGTAAGCGTCGCGGACGGGAGACTTCAATCCAGTTCTGGGTCCTCCATTTCTCTGCCAAGGAAAAGTGGGAGGAGCCAGAGGACCATCTCATCTCCTTTCTATTTCTCTAAAAGTACAGGTCCCTCCAATAAAAACAACTCCTTTGAAGGGTTAAAGGGGCCTTTTGGGTTATGAAATTCCCCTTTTATTGCAGCCAACATTCATTATTACGAACCTTCTAGAATCGAAACTATGAACAGATCAGTTCTGGTGAGTATTTGAAATCAGTCGCTGTGATTATATATTGCGTAATATATAATGAGTGACGTTCATGTAGAAAATAAATGATAATCATAACATGGCCCTAGCCGGTTTGGCTCAGTGGATAGAGCATCGGCCTGCGGACTGAGGGGTCCCGGGTTCGATTCCGGTCAAGGGCACATGCCCAGGTTTCCGGCTTGATCCCGAGTGTGGGGCATGCAGGAGGCGGCTGATCAATGATTTTCTCTCATCATTGATGTTTCCCTCTCTCTCTCTCTCTCTCCCTCTCCCTTCCTCTCTGAAATCAATAAAAATATTTTTTAAATCATAATATGGACTATTATAATGCCAAGTGATTTATGTGAATATTACTGACCTAGTCAGCAGGTAGGATGGTTGAGTAAGCACTGTGTCCCAGAGGCAGTGATTCTCAACCTTCTGGCCCTTTAAATACAGTTCCTCATGCTGTGACCCGACCATAACATTATTTTTGTTGCTACTTCATGACTGTCATGTTGCTACTGTGATGAATCGTCATGTAAATATCTGATATGCAGGATGGTCTTAGGCGACCCCTGTGAAAGGGCCGTTCGACCGCCAAAGGGGTCGCGACCCACAGGTTGGGAACCGCTGCCAAAGGGGCCGTCACATTTTGCATCAGTTTTGTTGCTATCGCTCTTCTCTTTCTGGATCGCTCACTGACCTCATCCCTGTTTCTTCTCCGCATTCATAATCACGTGCTTGGGATCCACCTGCTTCTTTCAGGGCAACACTCAACTTTCTTTTGCTCAAATTCTTGTCCGTTAGGGGGGTCTCCTTTCCACTTAAAAATTGAAAAACAAGGAAACCACACGTGTAATAACATGACCTCGTTTTTAAAGTGCTCGTTTGATTTTAGGGCGCTGTGGGTTGGGACTCACAGGAACTCTGTGTTGAAAGCTGTCCCACGTGCTGGGGAAGGCCAGCTGCCTGCAGCATCTTCAGATCTTGCAGCTTTTCTTTCAACCAGGTGTCCTCGCTCTCGACTCTGCGAGCCTTAGCCTGTGGATCCGAACAGGCCCCGCGGCCAGCAGAGGGGGGGGGGGGGGGGGGCCTGGACAGGACCCGTGTTTACATGTTCTCTGGCTTTGTGGCCCTCTGGTAATCTCAGCTTAATCGGGTAATGCCTGTGACATGGAAAACTTATTACTTTGTGAGAAATGGTCATAAAGTGAAAGAGATAATTTTAGCAAAAGGTAAATAATGTGTTTAACTTGTGGTGTGAGGATATACACAGGAAAGAGGTGACTTCCTAGGAACACGTGATTCAGAAGAAACCTCGATGCCTGGATAAACATTTCAGTAGTCATGATGTTAGGGATTCAAGGATGTTTGCCTCGGACGAGGGGTCCGCTGTCCTGGGGGGTGAGGGGAAGGGCCGAGGGGAGACTGAAGGGTCCCGGGTTCCGTCCACAGAGGCAGGGAGAGGGAGAGAGAGAGAGAGAGAGAGAGAAACATCAATGATGAGAGAGAATGTATTGGCTTCCTCTTGCATTCCTCATACCGGGGATCGAGCCCACAGCCCAGACATGTGCCCTTGACCGGAATCGAACCCGGGACCCTTCATTCCGCAGGCTAACGCTCTCTCCACTGAGCCAAACCAGCTAGGGCATCACTGTGGTTTTATTTGAGACAAAATAATGGGAGATCTCCCCATCAATATGGAAATGAGGGCATTTACTCTACTGCCTGGATATTATAGAGCAAGAATCAGAACCCTTTTTCTATAAAAGGCCAGACAGTAATCGTTTAGGCTCTCCACACCTACCGTCTCTATCATAATTACTCAAAAAGCAGCCATAGGCAGCCCATAGGCAAACGGCGGTGGCTGTGTCCCAATAAAACTTTATTTACAAAAGAGGAGCGTGCTCACTTGTTTCAGGCACGAAGAAGTCTGAGAAAGGTGGCGTTGACCTTCTGTTAAATGCTCGATGCTGCCATTTTCACCTCCACTCTTACTATTAACTGTTACTGTGGAAAGCACTTATTTGAGAAACTCCAATACGTGTCTTTCATCAGCCAGCTTGGTAAGAGGTACGGGACTGTGTGCCAAAGATTCTACCCAGGTTGGGGGAGGGGGAGGTGTTTTTGTTTGTTTTTTGTTTGTTTTCAAACCTTCACCAAAACAATTCTGCTGTGAAAAAGGTTTAAAAACACATGATCTTTTGTAATATGAATAGGGAAATGTCCTGGGTCCCCTTGACAGAAAACTCCATTCAACCTGAACTTGTGCTTTTAGAACTTCCGAAGCCTCGCCCAGAGCCGCCGTTTCTGCTCTTCCTGGCTGGCTGGACGATGCGGCGACGCCTTCCCGTGCTTGATCACAGCTCCACGCTCGGCTCCTGCTGCAGGGAAGCCCAAGGTATGGCGCAGATCAATCGGGGTAAGCGCAGCGTATTGGGCCGGGCGTTATATAGTCAGTGGGAAATGGAGAAATGCACTGTGACAGGGAAGAGTGTGGCGAACCCGCTGGTGGTGCAAGGATGCTGCAGGTGAGCTCATAGGAAGGGGGGTTTCTAGGGAGGCGTGATTTGGGGGGAGGAGGAAGTGCCCTGTGCGGCATCTCAGTGCTCAGAGGCTTGGAACCTGCCTGGATATTTGTGGACCTGCCGTCCTGTCATGGTCATATATGTTGTAAGAAGAGAAATTTGATTTATTTTGCCTGACCGTGCTTTCTTTTGTGCATGTATGTTGTGTGTGTATTTCTCCATTCATCTTCTCTGTTGAAAGAGGCATCAAATGATGATTTGGCCGCTGTGGGCATTTCTCCTGTTACTTCCATAGCAGCATAGCAGAGGCTAAAACCACAGGCTTTGGAGCCAAGCTGCCGGGGTTTCAATCCAGGCTCCACCTGCTACCAGTGTAGTGCCTCAGTTTTGTCATCTGTAAAATGGGGATAATATTAGTTCCTCCTTTATAAAGATTTTATGAATTAATGAGTTAAAGTCCTTAAGTTAATATTTATTTTTTCCTTTATATTTTTATCATGAACGAGAATAACACACATACATAAAAAGTAGGAATGTATAGCTCAAGAAAAGCAAGACCCACATAACGACCTGGAATAGAGCCAGGCCCCCTCCCAGCTGCTCCTCTGCCAATCCCTCCCACTTTATTTAAAGCATAGCGGGCATTTTATAAGTGTATCTTAAATAAAATTTTAAAACACCAGTTATTAAACGGGGTAATAATACAAAGGAGTGCTCGAATAGTCTCCTTTCCCCCAGCGTTGCTACTCCGAACACGATGCCTCTCTCCACATCCCCCTCCCCCGGCAGGCAGCAAGCCCTCCACGCAGTAATAGGAAGGGGAGGGAGGAGGAAGAGGAAAGGGGAAAGGATATGCTAAGTGAGGCCCAGGCCTGGGGGCGGGCTGCACAGAGAAGCTATGACTGACTAAAAAATACATACATGTATTTATATATATACACTTGCACTGACCATATATATATGGACACACACACACATATATATATGTTTATGTGTATATATATATATACACATATACATATATTGCTTAAAAATGCAAGAGCTGGATGTTTAATTAGATCAGTAGTTATGAAAAAGAAAACTAACATTATTCCATAAAACTTCCTTCTGAAAACTGTGCGATTTGGGGTGGGATAGTTAGAATCAGCTGGATCGCAACGAAGACTTCAGGCAGATAAACCATTAGCCATATCACCTTTAAGTCAGTGAACATGCAGCCCCACCTTCAGACACCGTTTTCGCTTAAGTAAACGAGGGGGTGGATGGGGCACAAGGTCTGGGAGCACAGACTCTCGGTTCTCGGAGCGGGGCTCCGGCTGTTCTCACACAGACGCGGGGCAGACAAGCACCGGCGAACGGGCACACACCGGCCGCGTTCCAGAGGGTTCCGTGTGCGACGTCATGTTGGCGGAGGCTCGCATTTCTGGGCACCCATAGAGCATGCCTTTGGCCAGTTTCCCTTCTTAAGGGGAACACAAGAAACGCAGAGTTGGGTTTGCATGTCGGCCATCCATTCTCAGCAGAATCAAGGAGCACCTGGAGCAAGGTCACATCCTTAAACTCAAACTTACAAGAACCTCGCAAGCCGCCCGGCCGGGTGGTTCGGTGGTTAGAGCGCCATCCTGTGCCCCAAGGGGTTGCGGGTTCCATTTCTGGTCAGGGACGTACCTAGATTGTGGGTTCAATCCCTAATAGGGGTGCCTACAGGAGGCAACCACCAGATGTCTGTCTCTCTCTCTCTCTCTCTCTCTCTCTCTCTCTCTCTCTGTCTCTCTCTCCCCCCCCCCCTTTCCTACCTCGGTAAAAATCAATAAATATATACCTGCCGAAACCGGTTTGGTTCAATGGATGGAGCGTCCCCTGCGGACTGAAGGGTCCCAGGTTCGATTCCGGTCAAGGGCATGTGCCTGGGTTGCGGGCACATCCCCAGTAGGAGGTGTGCAGGAGGCAGCTGATCGATGTTTCTCTCTCCTTGATGTTTCTGACTCTCTATCTTTCTCCCTTCCTCTCTGTAAAAAATCAGTAAAATATATTTTTTAAAAATTAAATAAATAAATAAATATATACTTGGGGAGGATTAAGAAGAGAGACTATAGTCTGCATCCCAACATTATAGGCACATAGTCTGAAAACATAACAGTGAACTGTTAGAGGTGATAAGAACATCAAGCAAACGGTCTTCTGGAGTTCGATATGTTGTCAACCTTTAACAGTTCTTGAAGGAATGAGTGACACATGCTTCCTGGGTACTGATTCAATGGGGCTTTTATTTCATCCTAAATTGACTTCTATCATCTCCAAGGCGGCACCTCCACACTCTCTCCCCACAACTCCACTGGCTATAAAAGTTCCATGTGCACCCTGCGCATGCCCCTTCCAGTTTTATAAACTTGCATCCACTCCCTCTTCCCCGGTCATCCTTGTAGACAAATTTAACAGCTCCCTCCCGCCCGTGGTCACTTCCGCTGCTTCTCTCTGGCCCTTTTCCAGCGACATCGCAGGATCCTGGCGGGGCAGGGACCAGGACCTCCCGCGGGCCCTGCTGTGGGCGGGTAACGGGTTGGCCTGCACAGTGTTTTCCTGATAGCGGCTTGGGGGTTTGGGTTTGATTCAGAAATGACTCGGACGTTCCCCCCCACACAGCCTGTAACTCCCCTCTTTAGAGCCACCATGGCAGGGGGTGCCAGCTCCTATTCAGTTTGGCCTTTTTTGTCTAACTTTTCCTTCCCCCGTTTGTAAACACTTGCACTGACCATACAAGGGCCTGCCCTTAAAGAGGACTCACTCGGTGACTGTTTCAGAAAGGTGATGACGGGGCTCCATGGCTGTTCTTACGCCTTCAAAACGGGCAGTTTAGCCCTAACCGATTTGGCTCAGTGGATAGAGCGTCAGCCTGTGGACTGAAAGGTCCCAGGTTCGATTCCAGTCAAGGGCATGTACTGTGGTTGTGGGCACATCCCCAGTAGGGGGTGTGCAGGAGGCAGCTGATCAATGTTTCTCTCTCATCGATGTTTCTAACTCTCTATCCCTCTCCCTTCCTCTCTGTAAAAATTCAATAAAACATATTTTTTAAAAAAAAAAAAAGAAGGAGGAAGAGGAGGAGGGGAAGGGGGAGGTGGAGGAGGAGAAAACGGGCAGTTTAGCCGCGTCCTCTCCTCTCGTCACGTGTCAGCAGGATGAGTGGACAGTCGCGCCTTACTTTATATTGACAGTGATCGCTCACTAATCCATCTCGGTGTATAAGTTTGTGTTACTTGTTGGTATTATAACCTGAATGAACTTGAGCAAGGCCGCCCACAACTCATCTGAGCCTCTAAATCAGGGGTGGGCAAACTTTTTGACTCGAGGGCCACAATGGGTTCTTAAACTAGACTGGAGGGCCGGAACAAAAGCATGGATGGAGTGTTTGTGTGAACTAATATAAATTCAAAGTAAACATCATTACATAAAAGGGTACGGTCTTTTTTTTCAATAGTTTTATTCATTTCAAACGGGCCAGATCTGGCCCGCGGGCCGTAGTTTGCCCACGGCTGCTCTAAATCCTCCTCCTCTCTTGATAAATATTTGGGGCGGGGGGCACTTTATTAATCTAATGTCTGTCCCGTTCTGTCTTTCTGTGGTTTTAGTCTACTCTTTATTTTAAATATATTTTTATTGATTTCAGAGAGGAAGGGAGAGAGAGAGATAGAAGCATCACTGATGAGAGAGAATCATTGATCGGCTGCCTCCTGCACACCCCACACTGGGGATCGAGCCCACAGCCCAGGTAGGTGCCCTTGACCGGAATCGAACCTGGGACCCTTCAGTCTGAAGGCCGATGCTCCATTCACTGAGCCACACCGGCCAGGGCCTAGTTTAGTCTTTCTCCTCTTTGATTGCTTGCTAGATTTGCATAGCAAATGGTTAGTTAAAACCAAATGGAATTTCACCCGACGGTTGTCCAGCATTCGCAGGGTCTCCTCCGTGCCCTGCTCTTTCCAATTTGCCGCCTGTCCACTTGCTGACTTGGCAGTATGTCCACGAAGCGTTTGCCAGCTCTGCAACCTGCCAGCCAGGCTTGCGGCTCCTCCTTCCGCCCAATGTGAGGGTCTCTGTGTAAATAGAACAGGGGTGGTGGGGGCAGAGGAAGCACCCAGCCTCCCCCATAAAGTCATGGGGTTCCAGGCCAGCGTCCTCCTGGCCCGGGATTGTGGATGGAGCCCTGTGACTGCATTTAGGAGTTTCATTTCTATCGATCAGATGAAATCAGGAGATGGAAACACTAGAAATCCTAGTTATGTAGCTTCTTAACGCTAAATTCTGACACATTAAGCCTGTGTTATTCTTCATTGGTTTGGGAATTGAGTTGAGAAGTTGAGGATTTAAAAATAGAAAACTAGCCCTAGCTGGTTTGGCTCCGTGGCTAGAGCGTCGGCCTGCGGACGGAAGGGTCCCGGGTTCGATTCCTGGTCAGGGCACATGCCCTGGTTGCAGGCTCGATCCCCAGTAGGGGGCATGCAGAAGGCAGCCGGTCCATGGTTCTCTCTCATCGATGATGTTTCTCTCTCTCTCTCTCTCTCTCTCTCCCTCTCCCTTTCTCTCTGAAATCAATAAAAATATATTTAAACAAATAAGAATAGAAAAATAATCGTGTGAGCCCCTGGCTTTCTATCGGCTGCAAGGCGGCCACCTGGGTGGTTCATCTGCCTTGGCGACATCTCGTCGACGTCCCCGTGTGCTGTCATCTGCTTCTGAGGATGACCTGGGGTGACTGTCCTTTCGCTAGCCTGGCTGTTTGCAGCCCTGAGCAGAGGCAAAGGCAGACCCGTTGGAAGGAGGACCCACGAGGAATGGAGAGCTCCCCGGCCGCGGGCCCAGGACACCCGCCCCAGGC